ATAGAGCAAATGTGAACTGAAATTTCGATGTATTTAAGGTAAGTGTACAAAATTTAATTTAAACCAAGGATGGATGTAAATTTTAAGTAGCCCAAGGTTTTTTAAGCACCGTCCCAAGTTTCCGTTTCCAGCTTGCACTCCGCTCTAATTTTTCTAAAAGCTCCTCCACCCCATATCGTTCCTGCCCACCCGTCGAAATATATGTCTCCCCCTGTTCCTCCCGTTTCGTTCTTATCTTTAATCGTCTCGACGGGAAGAATCGAATCGATACTACCGTCCCAATTTATCAATAACGATGAATTACGCTAAATTACGAAACAATGCCCGCATGTGTTTTCCCATCTCTCCTCAAGAAGAAAGAAAGAAAGAAAGAAAGAAAGAAAGGGAAAGAAAAAAAAGTTTCCTCGGCCGAGGTTTCCCACGTTTTAGACTCGTTTCCCTTCCGAGAACTCTTCCCAACTTTTCCCAAGCGAACCTCTGCCTCTTCCGAGTTTCTCAGCTTTTGCGTCATCGGCATCACGGGCCCGTGAACGTCGCACGAAAATCGTGGTTCGGCAAAGAGGCTCTTTGTAACGGCAAACAAGAAGCCGTTTCATGGAATTTCATCGGATTATTTCGCTGGATGGACGGGTGTGTGGTGGGCCCCTTTCGATCTCGCTTCGAAACGCAATTTCCGCCCTCGCACAATTGCTATCATTTTCCTGTTTTTCGAGGCCTGTGCTCGATATTTCTCCCTCTGCCGCGACTCGGCTGTCATTCCGAGTTTTTTTTTTCTTTTTTTCTTTTTTCTTCACTCTCGACGCAGCAGAAACATGCTCGTGTATACGAGATCTGCTTATATATAGAACCTACAGTGATACGTAGAAATCGAACAGAGTGAATTCTAAACAAAATCTATTGCACAATACTTTTCGAATTGTAAATGTTCCCGGTCGTTCGAGGAGAATACAAAATGAGAGAGAACCTCACCTCCAGTTCGGAACACCGGCCGAGCAATTATTCTTCGAAAAAAGCAGCAGCTCTCATCACCGGAGAGGGAGTCTACCAGCGTCATTCTGCAGCGAAACTGCCCTCGGTGCCAGAAGAACTTGCGTATCGATCGCAGGGGGCGATGAAACCAATCAGACTGGTCAAGTCGAGCGATTCGCCCGACGAGCGAACGAAAAATTTCGAGTCTGCTGGCCAACGTTCGCAATTAGTCGTCAGAAACGGGTTTTCACGTAACAGTCACGTATACTTTGCTCTCTTTCTCCTTCTCTCTCTCACTCTTTTTCTCTTTCTGTGTGTGTGTGTGTGTGTGTGTGTGTGTGTGTGTGT